AGGACAACCGAAGGGAGTCTATATAGCAAAGCTTGTGAAATCAATCAATGACTTAGGCATATCTTTTTCAATTTGGAATAAAAAGAATACCGATGGATCTGAAAGCCAAATTAAAGACTTTACCAGCTTWCTAGGTTCTCAGAAAAAAATATTGCTAAAAGGCTTTCCATCAAAATTTCAGGACTTTCTTTATCCTGAAACAAGCTCCATAGTGAAAAAAATCTGGACTGATTTTTCTTTATTATATGACAAGATTTCTGATTTTAATCTAAAACAACATGAAGCAGACGTCGTTTTTACCCAAGCAAAATCATGGATTGATTTGTTTTGCTCCCTCAGAGGTGTTCGCCCTGGCTACAACAGACCAAGAGTTACACCATATATGCATCTAATACCCTACCACCTTCCYTTTTTTGTRCAAAAGCATGGATGTTTAAAGCAGTTTACTGGCCAGGGGGTAGAGAAGAATAATGATGATCTAAAAAAACCTTTTTTAACAAGTCCAACAAATGGGATGCTGTTAAAGACATTCTAGAGACAGAAAGTAGGCAGTGGGAATTAAGACATCAAGAAAGACAAAAAGCTACATATACTAAAAGAAAGCTTGAATACTGGGGCAAAGGGATCAGCGAGGCAAGAAAGCTGAGAAAGCAAGAAATTGATAATCAATACTCTTCTACTATACCTGATCATAACATGTCTAATTCTACAAATGTTAATTATATAGCCCTAATAATAAAACAACTGAAAGATATTGTCAAGGACAKGGGCCTTAAACCAAAGGGACTTTCAAAGATGAAAAAAAAAGCAACTTATGGACCTTCTTCAGGCAAATGACACCTAGGCAATCAGCAAAGTACATTTCTTATTTATTATTCTTATTTGTATATAATCTCAATTTTATTTATTTATTTATTTATAAACATGTATAGATATAGTGTACATCAAATCCAAGAAAAGTTGAAAATTAATACAATTAACTTAAACATTTTTAACTTTTAATATTTCAATTTATAAATAACACTAAAAGGATGCAAAGTTTTAAAAACAACCATGAGTAAAACAAATAAATTTACTGTTTTTATCCCTTAGTGCTGCTATAAYCATTGCATACCTTCTACTGTTTAGACCCTATAGTAATGTGCTGTCCAGATTTACCAGTGACTTTAACAAATCCCATAGAAATTTTTTCAATGTACATTGGATTACACTCTTTGATATTTCCAGTGTGATCACAGTAATACGACTTTGGAGTTTTTCCAAGAAAATATCTCATCTTTACGGGGAAGTGGGCTTTTGATCCATCACCATGTTGGTCAAAGATACAACACCATYCCCTTGGTAGTTTGCACTTTGCAAAGTCAATTGAGTCAAACATAATCCATTTGCCGTWAACTAACTCTCTTCCTCTTCTATAGAACAAATGTTTAAAGWCATCATGTCTGAAATTTATTGTCATATTTTGTGAGACTGCTTTCCCCTTAAGAGTAGACATAATAGAACTTCTCAAGATGTCCACATGATCTTGCACCAACTCTCTAGATGGCCTAGGATTGTCAAAATAGTCGAGCAATGCCTGTGAGAGATGGTCTTTGGGCTCCCAAGTGCAGTCAAAGGCGCTATAATTTTTCCATTTGACCAGAAACAATGCTCCCTAAAAGATATTTAAGATTAAGCTTAATAACTTATTGAATTCAATAGGTTTTGGACATAAGCTTACGTACCTCTCCATCCTGTCTTCTTCCTATTATTCTCTTCGCTTCATAAAAGCCTAAGTGTTTTTGATGAGTCTTTCTTTTTTTTCTCACTGGTTCCAAGTCCACGCTGCTCAAGTTGTTCAGTACTTTGTAAGAAACACAATCAATCTCACGTTTCCCTCTATCCGCCATCTTGTTTCCGTGTTTATTTGGGTTTKCCGCTGAAAGATATCGCGGGCTCGAAAAGTCCGTAATTTCTGGCAATGATTAGTTAATAATATTTGCTGCAGTCCAATGAATGATATTACAGAGTRTACAACTACTGTTTAACAATCATTGGGCTATCTAGCACATATTTTGACCATAATTGCATTTATGTGYTAAACCTGTTATGCCAGTCTGACTTAAACTTTTTACATTCTGTATGATGAATAATTGATTCCAAAACAATGTCATTATATCCTGTAATTACATAATACATGATGAAATAGATCTTTTCTTTCATTCATTTAAGCTGCTCAATGAGCTACTGTTGCACCTTGAAGAGGCAGTACTGGTGACTGATTTACAGCACATTACAGAAAATTTTGATAAGATGAAACCTTGTTTTAGTGAGGAAGGTAATGTTTTATTTTCTATGATTAATGCAAGCTTAATATTCTAATGTACGTTAAATATTCCAATTGACTATTATCAGTATGCTGATAATAGTCCTGAAATAATCCTGTTTTAAGGCTCTCAAGGGTGCAAATTAAGATTGCATAATAAATATGTAACAAATATGACCCACACTATACYGTTATGATAAGAACTATGTATTTTGTATTTTATTTTTAGATGTTAGTATGTGAGAATACATTGATGCAATGTTGTTGAAGTTGTCCAGTA